GGGTTTCTGTTTGCAGGGGCCTTGTCTTAGACCCGAGGAGGGGCGTCTGTGCAGAGGCTCGGGTGCTGACCTGCCCACGGGCAGTGTTCTGCACCCCTAGAGCTAGGCCCGCTTTGCCAGAGGCCTCTCCCACGCCCTGCCCGCCAAGTGCTGTGCAAGGTGGAAGATACGTCGCCTGCTGCTCCCTGACCAGCTGTGGCAGGAGGCATCCAGGGCTGGGAGGCTCCGCACAGGGAGGTGATGGGTGTGGGGCCTGGGCTGTGGCTTGAAACGCTCACTCAGATCCAAACTAGAACCAGGAGAGGTAAAATAAGGCGTATTGTTGTGTTCCTCCTCGGTTTTAAAGGGGGTATTTTGCCATATAGCCAAGTCCGCAGGCTCTAGGAGCAGAGAGTGAGTTTGCATGCCTCACCCCACACACACCCATCACCACCCACACCAGGAAGACTTACACACTCAAGACACCCCAGTTCTCACAGATGCACGCGCCTCACCACCACACACACAGTGGAGGCTTACACAGACACCTCACAACCTCACAGGCACACACCCTCACCCACACACACCACACAGGCTTACACACTCAGACACCCCACAACCTCACAGGCACACACCCTCACCCACACACACCACAGAGGCTGACACACTCAGACACCCCACAACCTCACAGGCACACACCCTCACCCACACACACCACAGAGGCTGACACTCAGACACCCCACAGTCTCATGGACGCACACCCTCACCCACCATGGAGGCTTACACACTCAGACACCCGACAACCTCATAGACACACACCCTCACCCACACACTCCAGAGGGTTACACATTCAGACACCCCACAATCTCATAGATACACACATTCCCACTCACACACACCATGGAGCTTACACACTCAGACACCCCACAGTCTCATGGACACACACCCTCACCCACACACCCCAAAGGCTTATATACTCAGACACCCCACAATCTCACAGGCACACATCCTCACCCATACACCCCAGAGGCTTACACACTCAGAACCCCACAATCTCACAGACACACACCCTCACCCACACACACTATGGAGGCTTACACACTCAGACACCCCACAATCTCACAGACACACACACCCTCACCCACACACCCCATATTCTTATAGACACACACCCTCATTCGCACACACAAGGTTTAGGCGTACACACCTAGATATTCACAATCTCACAAATATACACACCCTCACCCACACATACCCCACAAACTTACACACTCATGCACAATCTCATAGACACACACACCTTCACACACACACACCCCATAATCTCACAAACATACATCCTCACCCACACACCCCAGAGGCTGACACATTCAGACACCCCACAATCTCATAGACACACACATTCCCACTCACACACACCACGGGGCTTACACACTCAGACACTCCACAGTCTCATGGACACACACCCTCGCCTACACACCCCAGAGGCTTACATACTCAGACACCCCACAATCTCACAGGCACACGTTCTCACCCCCGTACCCCAGAGGCTTATACACTCAGACACCCCACATTCTCACAGCCACATGCACACACAGCCACATTGCCCCCCCACACCTGTTCACCTGTGCACATCCCACACACTTACATGGGAGGAAAGTAGTGGGTCTCACCTGCGTAGACCTGTACACAGACCACTACAGACTGAATGTTTGCCCAGGATTTATTGCCAAAGCATTTGTTTGCCCAGTTTCACACGTCTCAGAGTTTCCCCTCAAACACTCACGTGTTCACCCCTTAGGAGCAGAGAACTCGGTGGGGCTGAAGTCATTAGTCCCCATTAACTAAGGAGGACAGTGAGTCTGGTGTGGTTAAGGGACTTGCCAATGGCAGAGCCCACACCCAGGCTCTCCATCCTGGATGACGTCACCGCTGCACCCTCATTCAGGCCAGTGGGTGCATGCCAGCTGTCCCAAAGTCTGCAAGCTCTGTGGGGACAGGGGCTGTGCACGCCTCATTTCTGCACAAGTATGTGGACCAGGGTGGCAGAAGGCTGTGTTGCAAAGAGCTGGACCTAGGTTCAAACCTCAGCTCCACGGATAACTAGCTGTGTGAGCTTGGGCAAATTATTTAACTTCTCTGATCCTCAGTTTTCACATCTACATTGGCTTAATACTGTTGTTATACTCATTGCCATCAAGTCAATTCCAACTCATCGCGACCCTATAGGACAGAGCTGAACTGCCCCACAGAGTTTCCAAGGCTGTAGTCTTTACGGAATCAGATCACCACATCTTTCTCCTGCGGAGCGTCTGGTAGGTTCGAACCACTGATTTTTTGGTTACAACCGAGCACTTAACCACTGCCCCACCAAGGCTCCTTAGTATTATTGTAAAAATTATCAATCGACAATCAGTTGCCACCAAGTTGATTCCAACTCAAGGCAACCCCATATGTGTCAGGAGTAGAACAGTGCTCCATGGTGTTTTCAATGGCTGATTTTTTAGAAGTAGATCACCAGGCTTTTCTTCCAAGGTGCCTCTCGGTGGGTTTGAACCACCAGCTTTTCGATTAGCAGCTGAGCGTGTTAACTGGTTCCACCACCCAGGGATGCCATGGGAATCTCAGGAGGTGCTTAATAAATGTTTGTTAGATGAACTGAAGTAGGTTTATATATTACTTACACAGACACACATAACATTTGTCACGGTGCTTAGTAATGCTCACCAAATGTAGGCCTTTCAATAAATGTAGAAGGAAAAGGAAGTGAAGAAAAAATAATTCCTATCTGCAGTACACCTTTATCATATATTAAATTCCCAAGTATCCTCTCCTCAATTTATCTCCTCCTGGGCTGGCACCATCCTCCATCAATTGCAGAACCTTCAAATCATGCTTTTCTATCTGATAGGGCAAGCCCTCCTTCATAACTCTGCTTCCTCAAAGTGTTCTTGGCAATTCTTACATGCTTTTTCTTCCATATGAACGCTTGTAATCATTTTTTCCATTAAAATTTCACTGGGGCCCTGATTGGATTTGCATTCCCTTCACATATGCGCTCCGGAAGGATGGCCTTGTTTGGAATTGGGCTGAAGAGCCAGGCGCTGCTTGCTGAATGCTGCTGCTGAGTGCGGCTCATTCCCCTTTGCCTCGCTGCTCTCCTCTAGAGCATCAAGGATGCCCGAGAGCTCAAGCGCCTTGCCTTTGTTCCACAAGCTCTGGAATCACGAAACAAGTAGGGGGAGAGTAGTCTTGGGTCCCCAGAGAAGGTCCCCAGGAGGGGGCTGCATAGATGGGGGCACATCCTGCCTCTGCCAAGAGTCTTCCCTTCATCTCCTGTCTGGGCCATCAGGAAACGCCTCTCCTTTGCTGTAATTCCTCCGGCTGAGCACTGGGCTCTGTACAGGAATCTTCCCCAGCTCCGGCTTGTCAGGGGAGGCAACAGGGGCCCTAGTGGGCTCGGACGCACCGTGGACCTCTCCTTGCTTCTCCTCACTGGGCCTCCAGCTGCTCTAACTCTCTCACCTCATCCCCATCCACTCCCTGCCCTCCCAGGCAGAGCGACCTGCAGAGTTGGTGCCGCAGCCCTGGCTTCCAGGCTGACTTGATTCTCTCTGGTGGCCCAACCCCTGGAAAATGCTCGGTTTCCCCTAAACCAGGAGAGCTCAGCAAGAGAGAGCAGGGTTTGGTATCAGAAGATCTCCGTTTGAGCCCTGGTGACGTGTTCACTCTGAGACTCTGGGCAAGTCACTTACTTGCCCCCAAGTCTCCACTGCTTTTCATTTGTAAAATGGAGCTTCTGTCCTTTTCGGAGGACGGTTCGGCCCCAACTCCGGGCAGACACTAGACGCGGGGTGGAGATAGATTTAACAATGAAGTATTCAGACACACTCCCGCCTGCACTCTGCAAACTCTGGCCCCGGGAAGGTACCCACCGCCCAGCTCCTACGATGCCGCTGGCCGAGATCCATCCTCCACTCTCAGCCTCAGGTCTGGATGAATCAGAGTCTTTGAGCCCCTGGGCACGCGGCTTAACCCTGAGCCTCGGTTTTCTTATCCAGGAACGGGCATACTGATCCCAAAGGAAGCCTCAGTGTGGGTGGGTAATAAGCCCTTCCCACCACCTCCCCTTGTCTCTTGGCGTTGCCACTGCAGTGGGCTCTGGCAGGGCTGCGGGGTCTTGGATTCCGGTGTTCTGCCAGCTGCCCACCTCCTGCACCTCCTGCTTGTCTGTACTCTGCCTTTGCCACCCATACATGCCTGGCGCCACACCCAGCCCCTTATGCTGCCACGTGTCTTGTTCCCCTGGCATCTCAGGGGTGCAGACCTGGGTCCCTTCCCTTTGTCTGCCCTGGAGTGGAGGTGGGAGAGAGAGCCCTCAGGACTTCCCCGGGGAACAGTGGGCTTCATAGCAGAGCCCAAGGGTGCACATCTATAAACTGTAGAGGGCTGTGCCAGCCCAAGGTGGCAGCAGTTGGGGTTAGAAATCATTCCCAGCTCCGTTTGCTCAAGATAGCATGTTCCTGTCCAAAATTTCTTGGCTTTTTCTATCTCCACTCCCTGTAGGATTTCCAGGGGCTCTGAGATTCTATTGCTTAAAAATGTATTTTTCAAACTCAAAGGACTTTAGAAGTATCCCCACAACTTCCTCAGTTTATGATGCTCAGAGAGGGTGAGTGACTAGCCCAAGGTCATACAGCCTGTCTGGGCAAGGTTGGGTCTAGAGGTCAGGACCCCGACTCCTGGCCCAGTGGGTGTCTGTTTCTGCTTATTTCAGGTGGGAAAGGAGGGCATGGAGGACCTGGCTGGGTATTTCCCCCAGATGTCTTCCCCTCCTCCTGTCGGGCCAGGATCCACTGTCTCTGAGCAGCCCCAGCCTTCACCCTGGGCCTCCTCCTTGCCCGCTGCCTCCTCCTACCCTTCCAGACCACCAAATGCCCACCCCCCCGCAGAGGGTCATACAGCAGCACTGGGTGGAGAAAGGAGCCGGCCCCTCTCTGACCTCTCCAGGCAGGACTCACCGAAGCCAGGGTGCTGCCCGCGGCGGCTGCTGTCACTGCTGCCAGCGTCCAGGGCAGGAACCACCTCATGCCTGGAAGTCAGTGGCAAAGGCATCGACCGAGCAGCCCAGCAGATCCGGCCACCTCTGCGGGGAGCTGGGCCGGCACTGGCCTAGCCCATCAGGAGCGCCAGCTATGCCTCTTCCCCCAGCCCTCGGGGGCTTTTATTAAAGCAAGGTCTGACGTCAGGGTTAAGGACAAGCCCTGCATTTTCCTCTGAAAAAACTTTTCCTGCCTGTCTCCCTTTTTTTTCCCCTCCTCTCTCTCCCCACCTCCAGCCCAAGCTTGGCCAGCCTCCCCGACTCTGACAGTTCTTAAAGGGGACGTTGCAGGCCTGTGTTTTCACAATGGGGTGCCGAATTCCCACCGCGGGAGCTGGGCTTGTTCTGTGGAGGTATTTCACCAAGGTAGGGAGGGGAGCAGTGTGAGAGGGTGCGGGCCGAGGCGGAGATGCAGTTACCCAGGCGGTGTCTTTGAAAGGGCTCCCAGTGGGAAAATAAACGCCCACTCCTAGCTTTAGGCTGCTCCTGCTTATGGTTCTCATTTGTCATCTTTTGCTTCTTTCCCCTCGCTGCAAGCAAAGGAGAGTGGCTTTGAGATCACCAAGCCGGAAGTATAGGAATTCACACAGGAAGACAGACGGAGGCTGAAGTTATCACCATCACCTGTTCTAAAGAGCTAAGCTGTATTTGGGGGCTGTGGTGGTTCAGTGGTAGAATTCTCACCTCCCATGCCGGAGACCAGGGTTCGATTCCTGGCCAAAGCACCTCAGGCGCAGCCACCATCCATCCGTGGAGGCTTGAGTGTTGTTATGATGCTGAACAGGTTTCAGTGGAGCTTCCAGACTAAGACGAGGAAGAAAGGCCTGGCAATCTACTTCCAAAAAGCAGCCGATGAGAACCCTATGGATCACCACGGTCCAGTCTGTAGCCCATCATGAGGATGGCACAGGACCGGGCTCAGCGTTTTGTTCTGTTATGCGTGGGGTCCTCGTGAGTTGTGGACCGACTTGCTAGCAGCCAGCAGCAGCAAATAGCAAAGCTATGCTTCCCAGTTTCCCGGAGTTGCCCTACCCTGCCCATCAGCCAGAGGCCCTTTGGTGCCGGCGCTGGCTCCCATAAGTCAAAGACTCAAGTGCTATGCTTCTGTCCTGGGAGTTCTGGAACTGCAAAACAAGTATGGGGTGGATAGACTTGGGTCCCCAGAGAAGGTCCCCAGGTGGGTTTGGGGAAGTCTCTCCTTGTGAGAGAAAGAAGGTGAGGAGTCTTCTACATTGGGGCCTGATCTTCCCCAGTCCAGCCACCACCATCTCCCCCATGGATCCCCGAGATGCCTCCTGACTGGTTCCCCAGCTTCCCTCTCACCTCTACTGGCCATGCTTCTTACAGCAACCAGAGCGACCCTTGGAAAATCGAGCTAAGATCATGTCACTGTCTGGGATACAGCTTCCACAGGCTGCAGGAGACATGGACTCTCTCGGTCCTGGCCATGGCCTCCAAGGCCAGCCACCCCCTGAAACTTGTCCTCCCCTGCTCCCTCTGGTGACCTTGACTGAGCCAGGGTGACCTCCTTGCCCTTCCTCTCTCATCCCAGCATGTGCACCTTGTGGGCCCTTCACACTTGCTCTCCTCTCAACGGGGAGCCGGGAGCACTCTACCCTGTGGTTTTCATCGTGGTTACTCCTCTGCTGTTTTCCTACAGTTTATTACCAAGGGGATGTTGAAGAATGCATGACTGCTTGGAAGTGGTGGTAGGCCTGTGTCTGTGAAGGGGGTTTATGACCATAGATATGACCCCACTAGAAGTGACTCTGATAAACTCTCCCTTCATTCTGCCCATTCATTCTGACCAGTTCTGGTCAATGAGACATAAAGGGAAATTTGCTGAAGGCCCTTAGGGAGGATTTCCTTCTCAGGAGGAGAAAGGCATGTCTCCACCCACCCTCTTCTTGTATGTGAACGTGATGGCAGGAGCTGCTGCAGCCATTTTGGGTCTATGAGGCACAAGTCTAAGAATACAAAGCCAATATGCAGAGGATGGCAGAGCAGAAAGGAAGAAAGAGCCTGGGTCTTTGAGACTTCTCAGTGTGACTCAACCAAACCCAGAACCACCACCTCCAGACTTCCTGTTACAGGAGAGAATCCAATGGTTTTATTGCTCAAACCATAGATAGCCAGATATTTTTATTCCTTGGAGCCAAATGCATCTTAATTAATATATGGGAATTTACTGAAATTAAGTATGTAAAGTGACAAGGGGAGTGTTTGGTACATAGCAACTGCTCATTAATGTTAGATATAATTTCCTTTTCCCGCGAAGCAGGTACTATACACAGGTGTCATTAAAGGAAGCATCCAAGATGTTAGGTGCCAGTTTGGCTCAATGACCTTTAATGAACACCAAATACGGACAGGCCCTTCACTATGAAATAGCTGGTGATGCAAAGGGTTAACATACTCTGCTCCTAACCAGAGGCCCCTCGGAAGAAAGGCCTGGCAATCTACTTCTGAAAAATCAGCCACTGAAAACCCTGTGGAGCACAGTTCTACTCTGACACACATGGGGTCGCCATGAGTCGGAATGGACAGCAACTGTTTTTTCTATGTTTGTAAGATCTCCTTGGTAGTCTCTTCCTCATCTGTGGCTTCTGACTGCTGCCTCAATTTCCCCAGTGTGCCTCCTTCAGGTTCTACCTCATCCCATTCTCCTCAAGTTATCTCCAACTCCCCGCCAACCCCACCAGCTGCCACCAGTAGGCCAGACGGCCGCCTAGGGGGCGATGAGAATTTCTCTGGGTTTGGGCCTCACTGGTTGGTTGTCACCGTAGCTGATGCTGTTCTGGCACAGCAGGTGGCTCAGTGCTGCCCACACAGGCCTGGGGTGGACTCCTGACTCCTGTCACTTACCTGCTGTGTGACCTTGGAGAAGTCACACAACCTCTCTGTGTTCTGGTTTCCTTGTCTAGAAAAGGGGACTGGTATAGGTACTGATCACTCTGAACAGCTTCTGTCCCAGAGTAAATGCTGTACTGAGGTTTATGAAATATGCCTAGCACATAGGAAGAGCTCAAAAACCCCACCATCTTAGCTATGAGGATTATTACTGCTTGACTTCCTGGCTGAAAGCACTTGGAAGGCAGGGTTTGGAGGAAGTCACTTCTGTGTCTGTCATGGATTGAATTGTATCCCCTAAAAATATCTGTCAACTTGGCTGGGTCATGATTCCCAGTATTGTATAATTGTTTACCATTTTGTAATCTGATGTGATTTCCTTATGTGTTGTTAACTCTATTACTATGATGTAATAAGATGGATTATCCACAGTTATATTGATGAGGTCTATAAGATTAGATAGTGTCTTAAGCCAATCTCTTTTGAGATATAAAAGCGAGAAGCGAGCAGAGACACATGGGGACATCATACCACCAAGAAAGCAGTGCCAGGAGCAGAGGGAGTCCTTTGGACCTGAGGTTCCTGCACAGAAAAGCTCCCAGACCAAGGGAAGATTGATGATACAGACCTTCTTCCTCCAGAGCCGACAGAGAAAGTATTCCCCTGGAGCTGACGCACTGAATCTGGACTTGTAGCCGACTGGATTGTGAGAGAATAAACTTCTCTTAAAGCCATCCACTCGTATTTCTGTTGGAGCAACACTAGATGACTAAGACAGTGTCCCACGTCCCAGCCCGACACACAGTAGGTGCTTGAGATGTGTGTGGTGCAGGACAGGGGAGCCGGTAGTGGGGCTATGTTTGGGGCCAGGCACTCACTCACAGCAGAGGCGGTGCCCCCCCTTCACTTCTCCCAGCCTGAGGTCCCTGCAGCTGGCTTTTGGGTAGGGTCTCGCTAAGCCTGGCAGAGCTTCCAGCAGTTTCTCTAACAGACCTCCCAACGCAGCTATAAATAAATTCCAAAGAGGGGCTGGTAGAGGTTTTGCAGAGCAGAGACCAGGCACTTAGCACACCAGACAGTAAAGCTGCCTTGACTGGAACCAGACTCAGAGAAGATTCCAGAGACCATCTCAGAACCAGGCCCCCTGGGGCCCCTGCGGCCGCCACATGTGCTGCATCTGCCCACAGCCCATTTGTCATTTCTTTGTTCCACAGACTTCCACCCTTCAAGCCTCGTGCGGGTTCGTTTTTTGTACAACTCTACCCAGAACCATCCAAGGCAGGGGATTCTGGGTTTTGCAGTTGCAGCCTTAACCAAGTTGACACACACAGCCGAGCTCACCTTCTGTGGCCACGGAGGCTAGGTTAAAGCCCTTCCCCAATGCTTCCGTAGAGCCTTTACCGGATTTGCCCATACATGGTATTTTATCGTCTTCACTATGTTTGACTAGCTCTCCTGGGTGCTCCCTCTGTCTTTCTTCTGATGCAGCCCCCTCCAAGAAGGTTTTCTTGTTTCTCACCCATTCTGAACTACAAATCTTATGAAGGTACGGACTTGTGCCTTTGTAACCCTAGTGCTTGTCACAAATAATCTTAGTAACACATGTTGAGTTAGCATTTACATATGCCAGCCCTGTTCTAAGTGCCTTTCACATGATAAGCTAGCCATTTAATCTTGGAACAACCTTATGAAGCAGGTTCCATTGTTATCGTCCTTGTTTGGCAGAGGAGAGAACTGAAGCTCAGAGGGGTTAGTTTACTTGCCCAAAGTCACCTAGCTAATGGGATTTGAAGTCTGGGAGGCCTTTCTGGTTCCAGAGTTTGCAATCTTCATCAGTCTTCATTGTCATCCTATTGGATGAAGGGTATGGGAGGTGTGGAAGAAAGATGGAGGAGAGAAGGAAGGGGAAGGGGAAGGGGAAGAAGAAAAGAGGAACTTGAGAAGAATCTTGAGATTTGATTGAATAAGGGCAGAACTTCCTGGATGGGAGAAATGGCTGAGGCAGGACCCAGAGCCAAGCAGCCATTGTTGGGTCATAAGCACAAGCAGACAGCCTCTTTGTGGTCCATGTTTGGATGAAAGAACATCACATCCTCGTTCTAGAGAGAAACGCTCTCAGACTCATGGCATTCTGCTACACCCTCAGTTTTCCCGAGGTCTGGATGGGGAATGTGGGTTTTTGCCATGAGTGGTCTTGTCCGTCACACTCTTTGATGCTTGGGACAGGGCTGGGAGCAATTGCCTTC